ATGATAGAGATGGAATTTGGCAAGGGAGATGGGAATTAAATTGTTGTAATGTGTAATATTTATCTATTAAGATTAAAATTAGAAATAAAAAGATAATTTCTAATTAAAAAGGGTATAGTAAAACTGATACTCTCATCCTCTTAAAATATGTCTTATGATAGTATAAATGGATCAGAAGTGCAATTAAGAACCAGAAAATGTATTTTCCATTTTATCCAGCAATCCCCTTTTAGAAATTTATCCTAAGGAATAACTATACACATCTGAAAAATATGCAGTGTTTATACCAGAATTGCTTATAGTAGCACAATAGTAGAAACAATCAAAATGTGCAATCACAGGGGAAAAATGGTTACATTGTTTATGTCAAAGTGTCTCCATGAGTTCTCACAGAGTTTTAAAGATCCCTATACAGAGCATGGAAATGTGAGTGATTATACTTATTGCAATGTTTATGAAAAGCTATACTGGAAGGGAAAGAAGCTAAAGTACAAAAGATTTTTTGAAGGTGGTAAAAAAGTTGAAAATCTATTTTTAGAACTTTCCGTTAAGTGTTTTAAATATACACATGTTTATCTGGCTCACATGTTTATCTGGCTCACGTACCTTCATGTTCCTACCAGAAACCTTCCTTCACATATCTACTCTTACCATATTATTGAAATATAAATGCTGTCTACACTTTATTACTATGTGTATCTCTCCCTAACAACCAGTGAACCCCTCTTGAGTCTTTCTTTGTATTTCCAGTACCAAATACAGATTAGAAACATAGAAGGCTATTTCATAAATGTATTAAATACCGAATAGATAGATAACATGAGACTTTTCCAAATCAGCTATTTTTGTACTGGACAGAAATTATTTAACTTGAAAATTTTCCTAATCCTTTCAGAACATTATGAGAATGTTCAATTTCTTAAACCTCTAACCCAAGAATTCCTAGTGGTCTTTGAGATCCAGAATCTAAGTGTCTGGCGAGCTAACTGGCCAGTGGAGAGCAAGAAAACAGAACATAGGACAATTTCTTTTGGCTGAAGAGTCATATATTACATACCACTAGTCCAGCCTAATTTTACCCCGGATTTAACAGGCTACTGTGTACATGTTATTTACCAAAAAAAAGGGGAAAGCCTCAAAGACTTCCTAAAAAGAATACTTTAAATTGGTGCACATTTATTAATGACAATATATACAAACACATACCTAGCATTGTATTAGGCAAAAAATTTCCAAATTTCCCACAAACACAAATGGTGCAATGGATTATAAATTATTGAAGGAAAGAGAATAATTAGGAGAGGCATATCGTTTTCTGTACCTCATGACAGAAATTCAATACTCAAAAGTTCAATAATTAGAAACAGTACCTTACTTATACAACCTCTTGAACTAAGCAAAAACTTTTAAACAGAAAAGGACTTTGAAAAATTGGAAAATTCACTGAGGTAAATTTGGTGCTAACATTATTACATTGTTTGTGCTTTAAATAACACATCCCCTAGTGCAAAAATAAAATCTGCTCACAAAACAGAAAGAAAAGGAGGAAAATTGGGAAGGAAGGTAGAAGGGCCCATAGAAAACTGACAGTTCCAAAGAAAAAATTATTTCAAGCCTTTGTAGACTTGAAAGGCATTCTGATGGCAATGTTCTAAGGGAAGGTGATAAGTAAGGATCAAATGGCACAGTGCTGCAATTGTACTGATACTTACTATTAGTGTAACCTTGAAATTAGGCTCTCTGAGTCTCAGCTACCTCATTTATATGATGGGAATAATAATATCTTACAGGTTTTAAAAACACACTATATGCGTAAATATGTAATATAGTATACTTTCTGTAAAGTGCTTAGCACCATGCCTGACTTATAAAAACACTCAATACACTTTTATCATGAGTTATGCCAATGCCTCATTACAACCAATCAGACCAGTGTCTATGGTTAGTCCCATTAGGTCCCTTCCTGGGGCAAGGAACTGCAACATGAGAAGTATTTTGTGCTTTATTGCTAAAGTTTTCTATTATTAAACTAGCCACAGTAACATTATAGGTGGCACAAATATCTGTTAGAAGCAGGTGAAGGTATGAGCTTAGGTTCTAGCTATCACTCTACGATTTGGGACTGCTGTCCTGGGTACACAACCCTCAAGCCTTCTTTGTATGCATAGGGCAAATGTCCCTTGACTCATAGAATAGGGCAGAGCAGGCCTGGCCCTTTGCTGAGACATAACTGGTATGTCAGCAGAGAGACTCCATAGGTATGACTTAGGGAAACAATTCCACCCAAATTTTCCCCTCAAGGATGCCTGGTCATCCCAGTGATTATTGCCACTTCACTTCCTCTGCCACTCCCACACAACAGATTCTGGACCTTCTGCCCCGACCCCGACCCCCTTGCTTCAAATCAACAGTTAATTCTGGTTTTCGTTATCATACTTATCACTGTCTGGTATGTTCTTGCTTGTGTTTTTTTTCCTATATTTTCATTGCTTATCTGCCCTTTGTTTTTCATGATCTGATGTTGTTTAGGCATTTGTATTTACTTACTGACTATCTGCACTTCATATACTTTCCAGTACAATGTAAGCTCCTTGACCACAGGGATCATATGTACCTTAGTCACTGCCATATCTCAGTTACTAGCATAGTCTCCTAAATGTGAGCAGAACAGACTTTTTAATTACTTTTTCTCTAGTGGCCAGGATTGATTGTATTTTCAAAGCTTTAACCACTCGAAAATTGTGCCACAAAAGTTTTATCTATACTGGCAGGATTTGAAGTGGATGGAGACCATCCTATTTGTAATAAATGTAAAGCAGAAACAAATCTTAGCTTGTTTGGCCTTATTCAGTCATGACCCACTTAGATTTTATCAGAATGCAGCATTGGGAGTGTCATAATGTGCTAATTTTTAAGGCGCACAGGAGACATGGAATAATTGTATCAGTTTGTTAGAGCTTGCAGGAATGCAAGTTCTCCAAATAAAGTTGAAGGGGCTGTGAACCTTCATATACTCACCTTGGAATTTCGTCACAGCTTTCTTATGACAAGGATGTAGTTAGTGTGCCTTTCCTTTCCTCTCTTCCAGACTGTCAGCCTGGCTTTTAAGTGTTATATCTTCCACCTACGGTTCTTCCCATGAGGCCACACTTGTTTTGCGAAAGTAATCATGAACATTTTGCCTCTTTCATACATCTCTCTCCATTCTAGGATACACCAAAAAGTACTGATTGTTAGTCTCTACAGTTATGTGAACACTTGCTTTATCTCTTTTACTACATTTTTCACTCTATCTACAATTTTTAGTGCAATGCAGTCTTTCTTTTCCACTCTTTAAAAAAGAAATAAGCAAGTTGTGGTCACTTGTGTGGTTGTACCAAGGACACTTAGAATCATGTATTCACTTTAAAAGAGGAGGGCCAGGAGGCAAGAAGTGGAACCGTGTTTTGACAGATTCTTGTCTGGCATGGATGACCTTGAAAAGTCCTACAGGAAGTAGTCTCTTCAGGCCTATGTGCTTCCCCTCCACTGCGCCTGCTCACAAAGGAAGCCTTCATGCCAGGACCCTGGGATTTCTCAGGCATAGATGCATAGGGAAGAGACTGCTTTCATTCTTTAAATAAGGTAAAAGAAATGGAAACTGGGACTGTAAGTGGTGTGGCATATTCCAAGAATAGACACCAATTTCCACAGAACTAAAACACCGACTCATTTAAGGGTACCATGGTTATGACACACGGTTTCACAAGAGTTCACAAAAGTTCATTTACTTGACAAAATTAATTCTTGAGTTCCCTCCCTCAGGTAATAAAACAAAGCTGTAGTCAAGCTTGTGTGACAAGAAATAGAACCCAAGAAAAGGTCTGCAAAGATGAACTTGAAACAGACATTCAGCTGCTGAGGTTTTGGAAGCAGTTGCTGTGTTGCTTTCCATAAGACCCCAGATGCCAGTGTCTTGCTGAGTGTCCTTTTCTTCACATACCCTCCCACAGTGTCAGGCCTGGCATTCAGTCAGAGATCATATTCCCAGGAAGCCTGGACCATCTCTCAAGCAGGCAATGAAAAGACATCTTTAATGTGGGAAGTGAGTCATCTTGGAGCTGGGAGGAGGACTGTACATCTTAACAATGGTCTGTAACAGGAAGAAGATCCATTATCCATTTAACTTTAGGCACCCACCTATAATCCCCTGTATTTTCTGGGGGGGGGAGGAATGAGAGCGGGGTGTGTGGGGGGTGTGCAGAGTCTGATGACCCACAGATCAGGCCTCTGACTTGCATGCTCTCAGATGTAATTGCCTGCTACCTAACCTATGAAGCACTTTCCAATCTAAGCAAACTCCAGGTCTCCACCACCTCCCACTTCGGGGTGGAAATAATGATTTGACTATTTACTAAACCTTTTAAGGAAGATTTCACATGCACACTAAGGCCTTTTATTGAAATGTGTAAGAATTTGTGACACTGGCAGGAAAAAAGAAATTTCAAACCAGCTACCAAAAGTTTCCTGAAAGACTCGGATACTCAAAATACAAACATTATCTCAAGGAGGTGGATTCTGCAGCAGGAATTCCCTTTTCTCCTTCCCCTATCTCCAATCACTGAAAGATCAGTAACTTTAGGGATAAATGATAAATTCTGTGACTATGAGTATCCCCCTTCCTAGTTCCTCGGGGCTCTAGTTTACCGGAGTGTGTGTGTGTGTGTGTGTGTGTGTGTGTGTGTGTACACACACAAGATCTAGAGAAGCTAAAAAACCTCAGGTGCCAGCACTCCCGGACCCTGCTCCCTAGGCCACCCGCTCCCGGGGTGGCTGCGTCCCCCAGGAGGCGCGCACCGAGAAGCGCCGTGCTCTGGCTAGGGTGCCGCTCCGAGGGGTGTGACTGCGGGTCCTCCGCGCGCGCCCGCCCGCACAGCGTGACTGGCCGCCACCGCAGACCTTGCTCGGGGAAGCGGGGCGCCACGTAGAGCGGGGGCCTGGCGGGCTGCTGCCTGACGTCCGCCTCGCTCTCCTCCCGCCTCTGCTCCGCGCTCCCTCCCCTGGCGGGCGCGCTGCCTGGAAGCCCCTGTAGACGCCGCGCGGCCGCTCAGAGCCAGCAGCTCGGGCGCGGGGACCAGAGCCGTAGCGGAGGCGGCGGGAGCGCGGAGACCATAGCCCCGGGGGACCGGCTGAGGTTCCCGGCCTGGGCAGCGAGCCCGAGTGTGGCACTTTGGAGCAAGGGCTGCCCCAGTGCGGCGCGGACCCCGCCAGCCCGAGCTCCGGCCCGGGTCGCTGCAGCCCAGGAGCCTCTCCCCCGGCGCCCCAAGGTACGCGCGGCACAGCCATGAACACCAACGATGCCAAGGAGTATCTGGCCCGGAGGGAAATCCCTCAGCTTTTCGAGGTAAGAAGCTAGGAGAATCCGGGCATCTCCGGGGGTTCGGGATGAGGCACTTGCACCCGTCCCACCCTCCCCATGCCGGGCATGAAAGTGAAGGCGCTGGCGCTCGCCCGGGGGAGTCGTCTTTCCCCAGGATTGCAGGGGTCCCTGTCGGATGGCAGGGCTTAGAAGCCCGCATCTCACAGATCAAGTTTCCGGCTTCTAGCCGGGTTCTGGAAGCCTGCTCACCGTCCCTCCCCCAGCGCACCCCTCAGATGCAGGCCCCCAGGATGGGCTGCAGACAGCGGCCTGGGGGCGAGGGTAAGGCCAGGTGAGGACCGTCTCGCCCACCTTGCAGCCTGGACAGGAAACTGAGGGGTCCAGAGCCCTTGTCCCTCTCCGCACCGAGGATCGGGACCCCTGCAAGCAAGGGGGAAGTGTGGACGGAAGCAACCGTCCCCAGGGACAGCTTGGAGGAGAGGGATGAAGAGGAAAAACGAAATTCGAACCCATTAAGTGCAGCGGGTGACAGGCACCCTGCGCCGCTTTGCGCTTTCAGTGAATGAACTCCTGAGCACGTTTCCCTGCCGCCTGGGCAGGTTCTCCTCGCTCGCCCCTGGGCAGCAGCTGTGGCCTGTGCTCTCCAGCCCACCTAGAGGTAGTGGATCGGGAAGCAGCGGCGAGACGGGCGTGACTCCTGTTGCTGTCCTCAGACGCAGCGCAGCATCATCTGCACCAGGGACCCCGGGGGTTGGGGACACTTGAGAATGTGAGATAGGAGGCTCGAGGGATGAGCTACTAAGGAACCTTGGTTAGTTCTAAGCCACAGCCCCCTTCTCGGGGCATTTTGCTTCCTTTCCCTCTTTTCCATATTTAAATTTTAAAATATTCCTAAATCTTAAGTGCTCTTGCTTAGGTTTAAGAAAACAAAACAAAAAGAGTGCAATCATGTCAAGCGTCATAGCGAGAGCCATGAAAAGAGAAATTCAATTCAATGCAAACTTGGCCTCCCATTTCTAACAACATTTAATGAAATGAAAAAAATGATAGAATAATATAATAAACTAAAGGCCATGGGTTTTTCTTTATCATGTTTGGGGGATTTGTTCTGTTAAAATGAAATTAAAAGACTACTTGAGAAGGTAATTTTGCCCTAATTTTTTCCAACTGTCTTAAAATGGGCTGCTGTAAGCCACTGTTTTCAGGTCATCTGGAGCCAACATTTCCAGGTAAAAAGCACACTTAACTCAGGCATGGTATATGAAGCCATATGTAGCCAACTGTGTTGCTCCTGTGTGAAAATAATCAGGACAGGTCTTGGGAGTGTGTGGGAATCTTAAGAGGTTGGTTTGTTTTTTTTTTTTTTTCCAGAAGTAAATATGGAGATGAATCGAAGGTTTTGGTTTTTTTTATTATTACAAACGTCATACCTGAGATCAAATTCATTTCTATACTAATAAAGAAATAGTAGAAACATCTATAGGAGGTAAAATTGTATTGTAACATACTGCTAAATAGTGGTCTTTTTTCTTTATAATGTGGGTACTGTTTTTCTTCCTTGGTGGAAGGTGACTGCAGAGAATTTGGATAGTTTACTCATGAAAGTCAACACTGTGCATGAAAATAAGTGATGTAGCAGGCATTTCTTCTTCAGGTTTTGTGCTTTTCATTGGCTTTTCTTCATATGAATGGCTGTTTTAAAGTAGACATACCCAGAAAAGGAAGTCAACTTGCTTAAGTGAAAGGCAGTAATTCAGTGTACATAGACTCAGTCCTGGACAGCAGGAAGATGTAAGGAGCCTGATGGTGACCTCAAAGGCCCATCCTTCCAGTAAGATGAATCTGTGTTGTGTACAGCACAAGAGAGAAGCAAAATCTGGCAATGCTCCATGTGATGAGTGTAGAGAACAGAACCAAATACATTGGGCTTGTAAATTGGATTTTCTCTACCAAAACCACAGATTGTAGGTATATGTATTTAACAATTAGATGTCTATCAAATCCCAAAACATCAGCTTCAGCTGTGGATATTAGATACCTTCATAGACTAAGTGACTGGTTATTGAAGCTACATATTACCAAGCAACTAGGTTTAACTGACCTTCTCAGATTTCTTCCTGATTTGAAACATTGCATGGGCTAAATTGGTATCTCTGGTAAGCTTATATTTGAAACATATTTCTATTTTAGATTAAATTTAAAAGAGTACTTTCTCCTGATTTTGTCATGAGTTCTTAATTCTAGTTAAGGTATACACTGATACTTTAGAGATTTGGCAGTTAATTTAGGTACTGTGAAAAGTCAAATTAGATATTCAGGTTTTCAGAGGATTAACTCAGAAACTGAATGCTGATTATCTTCATTCCCTGATCCTGGATGACAATTAGAAGATAGGACTTAAATCATATATGAAAGAGTGAAGCCCATTTTCCCCTTTTAAAAGCAATGCGTACCCGGATGTGTGCATGTCTCTAATTCCAACAGTTTGGAGGCTGAAACAGGAGATCCCCAGTTCCAGGCCAGCCTGGACAACATAACAAGACCCTGTCTCAAAAAAACCAAAACATATATTTTTAAATTAATTAATTAATTAAAATTAAACTAATGCCCTTAGGGAGTCAGTTTTGTTTCCCAGTCAGAAAAGCTACAATTTGAGTATATCCACCAATTTAAGCATTAGAAAAAGATAAAAAGACCTAATTTTAAGAGATTCATATTATAGTTGGATTATGCATGGGGCCCAGAGAATCTAGTATTTTCTTTTATCCCGTATCATTTTTTTGCAAGATGAACAGGGAGGAATGTATGGGTTTTGGAATCAGAAACTGAGTTGGAATCCTGAACCTAGAAGCCTCTAGCCAACACCTCTGAACTATAATTTCTTAACTTAGAAAACTGGGGATAATGATGCCACACAGGAATGAGAGTGCATTGGGTGAAGTAATGCATATGAGACATGCGTTAGCTTACTGATGCAGCTAGTTCTGCCCAGTGTAGAGGAGTATGGGAACCAAACCACACTGTATATGTGTACAAAACACATCTTCACACAGACTGGATGTAGATCCCAGCTTTCACTTTTCTGCTCCCTCAGCAATGGAACTCATCTGATGGAGCTGCACACTAGTCCACTCTATTTAGGATTTCAGGGAAAAAAATGTTCCTAGTAGGAATTGCCTGCCATTCTGGGAAAATTGAATAAGAATAATTTGAAACTAAATACTGTATTTAGGAAAGACATCAGCCTTTCATAGGGTGTGTGTTTTGTATATTAATAATATCTATTAGTGATAATGACCTTCTATGCTTTTTCCATGAAAAATTCTAGAGGAAACTATTTTGCACACCATTTTAGTTCCCAGGAGTCAACATTTCCAAACTTGTTGTATTTTTAGAAACTAGTACCAGTGACAAATCAGACACCATGACTAGAAAAAGCATGCTTTTTTCTCTGTAGTCTGAATAGATATTGTGGTGTGGTGATTTATTATATATCAAATAGCAGATTTTTGAGTCTCAAATTATTTTTTCAGTCTCACTCAGACCTGAGTTTTTAATTACTTTCCTTAATCAGAAAACCATTTAATATGCACCTATTATATGTCAGGAAAAGTATCAGGCACTGAGACTGAAAAACAAATGAAACCCATTCTATGTTGCTGAAGAGCTTATAGTTTAGATGAGAAGACTGACGCAGAAGCCAGTGCTTTCAATATAAATGACAAGTGCAATTTTTTACTCTGGGTACCAGGAAACACACAGGAAGATCCCTCAGGCCAACTCTGAAGTGCAGGAGAGACTTCATGGTAATAATCATGATGATAATAACTAAAACCAACATTTGCTGAACACTTACTACATGGGAGGCACTTAATATGCACTGTACGAGTATCAAATATTTTAAATCTTTAAAAACCTTATGAGGTAGGTGTCATTATTTTCACTTTATCGAAGAAGCTGAGGCTCAGAGACTTTAAAGATAGATGGAACCAAGATAAAAAATGTTGGGATATTTGCATATGATGTACTTCATCTCACGTTGGTAAGACTTCTATTTTCAGCATTGTAGTTGCTGAAACTACAATGAATTGTTTAAAAGGCAGAAAATTCTAAGTCAAAACCCAGTTGGTCAAGAATTTAAGGGATTATCTTAATTATCTAATCAGCTCATATTTTCAACTCTAATTGTTTATTAAAAGGCAAATGCAAATGACAAAAATAACCCAGAACTTAGAGATGGGATATACCAGTGTTTTTAACAAAGTGTTCTCATATTTTATTTATACATATTTTGTTGTTTTTCAGAGCCTTTTGAATGGACTGATGTGTTCTAAGCCTGAAGATCCTGTAGAGTACTTGGAAAGTTGTTTACAGAAAGTAAAGGAACTAGGTGGCTGTGACAAGGTGAAGTGGGATACATTTGTCAGCCAGGAAAAGAAGACCTTGCCTCCACTAAATGGAGGACAGTCAAGGAGATCCTTTCTAAGAAATGGTAATGTATGTATAGAATAACAGACAGTTTTGTAGGTAGAGCAAGTCTCTTTTACAAATAGCATATAAACTGTAGACCGTGATTTAATTGATTGGGTTTGTAAATGTCTGGAAGAATTTGAATCCTGGAACATGATTAATTTCTTTCTGCTACTAATTCTAATCACCTCCATGGTAAGACAAACAAAATTACATACCATTGTCCAGCAATTTGCTGAAGACTTAATGAAATTTTCTATTACTGAATTCATTATTTTGCAAAATGAATTACATTTAAAAGCCATGAATTTATTTTTCAATTGCAGCTAAGCCTGTGCTAAATACATGAGTAGAATAAAGATTAAATTGGTGGTTATTATTTAACTATTCAACATTTTTCATTAGCTAGAAAGAGATTTGGCTTACTAATGTGTTTCCAAGCCCAGAGTTCATGCTAATACCCCTATATAAGTGCATGTAAAGTTCATACTAACTAATTCAATAAATATTAAGTAACTATCAAATATATTAGAATATATTAGATTAAGTATTTGGGTGCTATAAAAGAGTACAAGAGGTAAACTTGTTTAAATTTTAGATATAGTTTAGAACTAAGAACTAGGGTTTGTTAGAGGAGATTCATGATATTCTAGTCTCTTTCTGAAATATGTGCTTGTCAGAATCATGGGATCCATATGAGTCAACCAGTCTTTTAGGCTCTAGATGAAGTTGTGAAATCTAATAGTATGTAAAAAGTAGACTGAGTTCTAATCAGGAGAAACTAAATTAATTCTTTTGTAGTGGCCAAGATCATTATATTTCAGATAAAGCCTTCTCAGAAATCATACCGCAAAAGTTTCAGTTATACCAGCAGAATTTGAAGTGGAGACAATTATATTTGCAATAAATAAAATGAGGAAACAAATCCTAGTTTGTCTCACCTTATTTAGTCATGACCCACTTACTTTTTATTTGAATGTGGTGTGGGAAAAAGTCATGGTATGCTAATCTTTAAGAAACACAAGCAGCAGAGGGAAAATAGAAATGTCGTTTCCTCATAACCATCTCCAAAGGGGAGAAAAGTCCTTCTCTATCCTAGCAGAGTCAAAAATAAGTGATTTAGGGTTGGATACTCATGTGTTTTACTAGAAAATGATATGACCCCTGACCAAATTCCCCACTGTTGTTAAAGAAGCAATTGTGATATCTAGAATTGTTATTTAATACTAACTTCAAAAATGTCCAAATGTTCTAACATACCCTCCCAAAGCTGAGAAATAATTAAAAATATTTGGTGTAAGTATAGGTAATAAGATGACTATTCTGAGTTTCAGAGAGCAATTATCTCATTAGTTACAAAGTCTCTCGCTCCAGTCCATCGTAGACAATGGCAAAACATCACTCAATACATAATAAGCCATGCTGTTACATTCCTGTCCGTCCTAAGACTGAGGTTGTGTCTTCACATGCGTATGAAATTGAATTGGCAACAAATATTTGGAATTGACCCTTAGAACCAATTCAATTCTAAGAGGTTTTTGCTTTTCCCATACAGTGTACTCATAGACCCAGTTTCTGGCTGATAATGGATCTCAGTTCCAAGTTGAAAAAAATTTTAAATCAGTGAGTTGTCAAGTTCATTGAGAACAGCTTGGTATACACAGAGTGTGGAGTGTACAGAATTGAAGTTTAGAAGTCCTCTTCAATCTGCGTATACACAGCTCAGATTTGATACCTCGGTAGGCTGTGGTGGACTAGAGTAATTTCAGCTAGTTACTGCTCTTCTACACCTCTTTGTACATTTCTGCTTTTTGGTGAACAAAATGGTATTTTAATGGGCTTGAAAAGTTCAGACACCTTCCTCAAATGACTAACTTATTTCCTGAGATATCATCGTGCGGTTGGAATCTGAATCAGTGTTGAATATATACTTCTTACCCTTGTTAGATCAAGTGAGATTAATGATGGGGAACTGTTTTCTAAACCTTGAGGCAATAATGAACCTCAGATATTACTGTATTTAGTTTAAGACATTTTTCAATTTTAAATATCAAATCTAAAAAGTTATTACAACATTCGATTAGTTGATAAGTTGCTCTTAGACTTTCTATAGAAACTGAGTGTTGACAACAAAATTAAACTTTGATACTATTTATTGGTCAACAATACATGGTAACCAGGCAGACCAAGTCTGTAATAGAGAATAATGAGTATAGTGGCCAACCAGAAATCTGGACTAGACAGAACAGTCATTGTCTAAGGGCAGTCAAGTACAAATTTTGGAAAAATGTCTAATTGAAGTGAATACATCTATGGGGCTATATTGGGTTCACAAACAACCAGTTTGGAGCTCCTGATCGACGAGGACATACTAAACAGGAATGCAAAATGAAGGCTTAATTTTCATTAAAATAAAATTGCTTGCTTGTTTTAGGATTTCCCTACCTGTTAATGCTTTCTAGATCTCCTAGACTAGTCTTTTCATTCATCGTTAATTAGAACTTTCTTATGTACTAAAGTGACTAGAATGTTATGTCCCAGTGTCATATATCAGGAAATTGTGTTAAATGATGGGAAATGTTTTATAAAACAATTATCCTATAATAACAAAATTTTATTTTATGAAATGCTTTACACATTTGTGCTTTATAGGTTTTAACTATATTTAGTGGAATAGGTTGTTAAATCAACAAAATTGCTAGGGGGGAGAAATGAACCAAGCCTTGTATGCACATATGAATAATAAAAGAAAAAGGAAAAAATAATTGCTAACAGCCCTGTGACTTAAAATAAAATGATTATTCTAGAAATAGTGATCCATGATTTTTTTATAAAAATATTGACATAAGTATGATAACATATCATTATCCTGGAAAGTTACTCTATGACACAATACATTTTTATCATCAAGCAAATTATTTTCCTGAATTAGAATATGATAAAGATAAATTATTGGCTGACAGTTCTTTAAAGTGTTAAATGTGAGATGAGTATCCTTTTTTCCTGTCATATGTATACAACCAAACAAATAATTACCTGTGAGTAAGAGTTCTAGTCTCAAACAGCCATAGAATTTGTCTTCTGGAGTGTTTCATTGTCACCTTATACCAAACATGTCCAAAACCAAATATACCATATTTGCATCAAAACTAGCACTCAGTTCTCTTTTTCCTGTTTCCATACAGTCAGTCAGTGAATCTGTTAGGCAATAACTTTTATTGAGCACTATTATATGCCCAGATATTCTATTAAGTACTAAGAATTCAGGCACCAAGAAAGAACAGACTCGACACCTGCCCTCAGGGAACTCACAGTCCAGCAATGAAATCAGGCATTAAAAATATAATTGGTAGCACAATTGATTCTGTAGCAGAGACCATATGTTATGGAAATGAAAGAGGTTGTATGCACCTTAGGCAGGGTTGAATGGAAGAAGTGATCTGCTAGCACTTGGAGGGAGAATACTCAGGATGTGTTAGGATAGAGATGAAAGTGTACAGGGATCAGAGCATAGAAGTTGTTGAGGTAGAAAAAGAGGGTGTGATGTAGTCAGGAATGAAAGAAACCTAGAAAAAAAAACAAAGACAGAAAGACTGCATCTTCAAATCTTTTAGATCAATTAAGTTTTGCCTTGTGTTGGGTGAAGTGGTTAAACGGCAAGGTAGAGCAGGTGAATATCGTTAGTGTTTTTCCTCACACAGCCTTTCCCATCAGTTTCTAAAGATGATCCATTGTCATCTGTAGACTTCTCCACTCCTTTCATGAAACTAGAACATGGTGAGTCAGTGATCAATGGCCTTATTTATTGTATGAACAGAGAATGGAAAGTTCTAACTGATGAAGACCTGGGAGATAGGAGCACTACATTGTCCTCAGATATAGTAGGCATCTTAGCCTCATGGAAGGCCATGAGGCCTCAGGTGGCCTCCTCTCTCCTTTGTGCAGGTACTGATGGGCTGTTAGGACTTCTCTGTGCCTCCTGTGATACTGACATATGGGCTAAGGAACGAGAAAACCACAAACTATATATTGATAATTGGTTGATACTATCTATCTGCCTGGTTTGGGCTTGTCAGGTCTGTCTTCTGGGCTATTGGAATATGTCATTAGTATTTTTGACTCTGAAATCAGTGTTGTCACCACCGGCTAGGATATGCTTTCTACATCACCTGCGTTTGTCTTTAAAATTTGTAGTCCTGCCTCTTTTGAAAGTCCTTTCCACTCCAGCCCAAATGGATTTTCCCATTCCCTTATCTACTATAGTTTACCGTGAGAGTCATTTTAGCACTTGTTCTGCCTGATAGGCATGCAGACATCAGATATACGCACATAAGTCGTAAATGCTAAAGAGATAGGACTACATCTTATTCTTGTATGGAATCACCCTCAACCTATTAACCTGCTTGGCAATGAATGGCAACATTTGTTGCCATTAAAGATATAAATTTAAATCTTCATATTTACATTTTAAATTCAAGCCAATTAAACATAATAGATATTGTGAAAATATAATTAAATGATGTTGAAAAATACTCCAAATGTAGAAATTGTTTGTATCCTTCTTCCTGGCTTGTGACAGTATACAAATTTTGTGTTCATTATGCCACTAAACCCTTCCACTGGACCCTCAGAGTTTATGAACGGGATGCATAAACATTGGCTCCATGGGTAGCTGCACATGATTGTGTTGATTATATAAATCCAGGGAGCATCAATTGCACAGACCAGGATGTGTATAACCTACCAAGTAAGACAAGATAGTGACTGAGAAGGTTCCTCAAGCAGAGGGAGTGGCCAAGTCCAGCTAGCTCCCTGCCTGTTTTTATAAAGTTTTATTGGAACACAGGCACACTCATTTGTTTATGCAGTGTCTAAGATATCTTGGCTGAGATGAGTATGAATCTGTGTAGTTCTCAGAGCCTAAAATATTGCTGTTTGTCCCTTTGAGAAAAAGGCTGCTAACCACTTAAGAAGTCTACCAGTTGAAAATGAAAGATCAAAACTCATTCACTGAATTTCTTCTACTAATTTGTTAAATGTGAAAATTGTTTTCTTATGCTTTCTTTTTTCCCTTTTCAAAGTTATCTTACTCTTTTGCAGTAATGCCTGAAAATTCAAACTTTCCATATCGACGATATGACCGGCTCCCCCCAATCCATCAGTTCTCCATAGAAAGTGACACGGATCTCTCCGAGACCGCAGAGCTAATAGAAGAATATGAGGTGTTCGATCCCACCAGACCCCGACCGAAAATCATTCTTGTCATAGGTAGGAGGACAGCAAACAAAATTCTTTACCATTGCTAACTTTTTAAATATATATTTACATTTCAAAAATGTCAATTATATGTCATATTTACTAAAGCTTTGTTGGATAATGAACAAAAGAGAATAATAGCAATAGCAATAAAAACAAAAGTTCAAGGGACAATACATGGAAATAGTTTTAGAATAATTTTCAATAAAATAGGAGCTATATTTAAACAATCTAATGCTTACTGCATTTTCATAGACTCTCATTACAATGTCACAGAAATTTTCTATAATGAGTTAAAAGTCATGTCTTCAAGATTTATTGTTTTGTGGTTTTATTTATTTAATCTTTGATATAGATAACCAAGTCCATTAGATGTTTTCCCTTTAATTCAACAGTGAATTTTTACTCACTATTAACTTAGGAGGGAAAAATAACAATATATTGGTAAGGATTCATATAAATGAATATTCCTTATGACAAACTGATACCTATAATAAAATCAAAGTTTCCATGTTGTTATGGAAGTAAATATAAGATCTTATGTTTTACACAGCTCAAAACATCTGACTATTAATGTAAATAACAAAGATGAAGTTCAGTTTTTAAATTGCCAGCATGAATCTTCTGTTGAATACGAAAGTAGCCTAATACCATTTCATAAGGAATAGATACAGAAAATGTTTTAAGTAATTTTTCAAAATGTATTTGTTCATTAGTCTTGCAAATTTTATCATTCTTAAAATGTATGAAAATAATGAGGAGACCTGTAATGTATATAGTCAATGCCTCTCTCTTTCCAGTTTGACCAAAAGCAAATATCTAGCATAAGTGTTCACAGTTATTCTAACCAGTAACTATTAACAGGGGACCAAATGAACACAGCCCCCATACAGAGAAATACTGCTCCAGAGGACAGAATGGAGACAGCAACTAGAAAAAAGCATGAAATAAACACACTGAGCTGTAACAGGAATTTCAGCTGATCAGATTAAAGGAGTGGCATTTGTACATTTCAAAGTGAAATGAATATGAAATTACAAATATATTTAGCCTTGAATTGTTAAAAAAAAATAATATTGCAGGAACAGAGTGTGGAAATCAGCTTTTGAGGGAGTGGAGATGTAGCTCTGTGGTAGAGCATTTGCCTAGCATGGCACAAGGTCTTGGGTTTCCTAGCAAAAAAATAAACAAACAAAAAAGCAGACAAAATCAGCCTTCTAAAAGTCAAAACATTCTTACAACTTATGATAGTCACTCTACCACAAATCTTTTTTCTTGAAAATAGAATAGTTTTGTGCCTAAAATTTGGGGGTCCTTACCTAGAAGACAAGGAAATACTTACATAAAGGTGAAGAATAATTGGAATTATTTCCCCATTTTGTGGTATGTAGGAGGATAGAGTACATTCTCTCAATTTCATTTTTCTTGTTGCCAGTGGTTAAGTACTGGTGATGATAAGTTGAACAGATAGAAGCTTGATTGTCCACGAAGATGGAGTAACAACAACTTGCTCTTGAGTAAAACTACACATCTGTGACTTTTTTGTGCATTGTGAATTTCGTATGAAATTACTAAAATATTTCAATAAGCTAAAAATCTTTGGAAAAGATAAATTCTCAAATCTCACCCACTTCACAGTTCTTTCTTATTCAGTGAAATCAACTTGCTTCCCAAGGTTTTGATTCTGATTACAGACTTACATGCTGAATATTTTATGTCACAAGAATGATGAGGAACCAGTGAGTATAAATACTTTTTAATGGATTGAGACCAGGCAGAAAGGTTTTCTCAGAAAGTTTTCTGAGAAAATCAGGGCAATTTTAGGACTTTTGAGGAATTATAAACTAACTGTACCTAACCCTTACAACTTTGTATTTTTTCCAACCTGAAAAAAAAGTGTGGTGGAGGTACAGATGCCCACATGGTATTACATCAAAATAAAGAAAATTTCCTTTTGGCACTAGAGAATTTTTTAAAGCAGGCCTACTTGGTAAAGATATGAATCTCTCTTATGTTAATGTAATTATACAATCTCAGAGTTGGATGGATCTTAACATCTATAAATATTATAGATAAATAAACAGAATAAAATTAAGTTCATTCTGGTTTTAGAGAGAAGAAAATAAACTGATTTGTTAGGAAGCGTCAGTAATCAAACTCATCCAATGAATCAATGCTGTTCTTCGTTGATAGTGCAAGACTTCTTTGTTCTTGTTGCTTGCTATTACCTCCATTAGTTGAGAAAAACTTTTCTTTGAAGGTGCCACAATTTTCTCAGTATGTTTGAATTTTCTTAATTCAACATAATTTTTAACATCTGAGTTTAATGATTTGTGAGGTCACATGTAGAAATAACTATATTCTGAAAGATAACTTTGTTTGTTCAGGGATTAAAATCAGATTGAATTTGTTGGCGGAATTGGTCATACAATATTTTTCTTCAAACCAGTTCTTGAATAGCCCATGTTAATAGCCAAAAGCAGCTATTTGGAACCCAAACTTACTTTTGAATTGCAAAGTAAAGAATTTAATCTACAGAAACAGAAGTGGTTTATAATGTTAAGCCTAATAGGATAGGACATAGAGTTTTAACAAAGCACTAAAAAAGTGAAAGCTTGATATTTGGTGCATTATTTGGGATTGGGGACCAGAGATTCTTCTGATTGTATTAGTTGGTCTTAGAATTCTGCTGACCGAATCTGCTCACTCTGAACTTTTCTTACAAAAGAAGCTTTCTCTTTTATTAATACTATTTGAAATATTAAAATACTTATTAAAAAATTAGATTTAAATTACTTCAACAAAAATTTTTTATATTAATAGGGAAGTCATCAACTCACTTTTCTGCTGATTTTTATTTTCAATATTGCTTAATCATATCATGTTTCAATGAACATTTACGAAACATTTCATTGCTTATTAGATATTGACTTTTTAAAATGTTGCTTACATTCACTAATTTGTACTTAAGTCTGAAAATATTTCATTTTAGTAGTCACCAGCAAATAACTAGACTGGGCTGATTTCTACAGATTTTATTTTAAAATGTATTCTGACTCTAGATTCTAGTTAGTTTAGGGTGTTTAGAAATATAACATTACATATAAATATAATATTACATATAATGTAATATGATTTGAAAATAAAATATGAAGTATATATTTTGTGCTTATTTTATTTCTAAAAGGTAAATAGCAACTATTAATGATTAGCATTGAGTTATACTGAAAAGTGTTGATTATTTCATACTAATATATCATACTTAGTTCTGTGAAATTTTTCTAACTTACGGACCTATTCCATTCCCTTTCTATATTCATTGCATAACATTTTTGAATTCAAAAGAGATAAGACAAGAAAATACATGAGTGAACAGTTTTCAAAAACCAATTTAAATAAGCTGTGTCAGTACTAGTGTCTGTTTGGTTTAAAAATAATTGTTACATTTCACCAAATTACACATTAAGTCTTTGGAGGCATGAAACACATTCCTGTTATTTTGATCACTGTCTTTTGTATCTCATAGATTTTTCTTTGATTCTAGAGGGAAAAAAACTATTAAATTTTACATAGTCAAGGTTTCTTTGAACTGCATTGTTCAAAATTTTAATTAGCTTTTTAAAAATTAATTAATTAATTTTTGTGGTGCTGAGGATCAAACCTAGGGCATCATGCATGCTAAGCAGGCACTCTGCTACTGAGCTACATCCCCAGTCTAATTAATCGTTTAGTAAGATAGGCGGAGGGGGAAAATGCCTCTTTCATTTAATACAGTTGGTCAAGACAGGTCTACCCTTTACCTTGGCTAAGTCTGCACTTGCTCTGCAATCAGAAACAGCAGAAGAATGCCACAAATGAGGCAACTACCTGCCCTCAGTTCTCGTGATCCCTAATTGTTGTCTCAGAGAAAAATAGTAATTGTATAAGAAGGAGTTCCTTATTGTATCAGGTCACATTTTGCCTATTTCGATTAATAGGTGGCCCAGGAAGTGGAAAGGGAACTCAAAGTTTGAAAATTGCAGAACGTTATGGATTCCAGTACATTTCAGTGGGGGAATTATTGAGAAAGAAGATCCATAGTACCAGCAGCAATAGGAAATGGAGTCTGATTGCCAAGATAATAACAAATGGGGAATTGGCCCCCCAGGTACTGTCATTTACTTTGCTTCTATTCTGCAAAAAAAAATTTATGCGCGTTATGAGTATGCTAAATTTAACTGTGGTTTTCTATGTTTTCTCTTTACAAAAGGAAACAACAATTACAGAGATAAAACAAAAGCTGATGCAAATACCTGATGAAGAAGGCGTTGTTATTGATGGATTTCCAAGAGATGTTGCCCAGGCTCTATCTTTTGAGGACCAAGTAAGAATGTCTCCTTGTATTTTAATTGACCCACTTTTTGCTTAAGATTTTGAGATTAAAAAGAAAAAGATTTCTTGGAAGGTTTTCTATTTTTTTTAATGAGTTCTGGTTTGAAACAGGCAAATACATCAGTCTGGGTTGGCAGAGGTTATTTCCTTGGCAAATGCTTAAAAATTGAAGATAGTGTCTGCCAAAAGAAAAGATAAAAACTAATAATAGAATTCACTATTTTGATTAAGAATACAAATTTCTCTAAACTTTATTTCAAATGGTTTTTCCTAAGATTACTTTTTATATATAATTACTAAAAATAAGCCTTACTCAGTAATGTCCAAAAATGTAAAATGTCACCCTGTACTTAGGTGCTTGCCAGTTAAAGAAGCCCTCTTTATTGGGTTGTGAAATCCTAAACCTCTTAGCTATATTAATAGAGAATTCAGCTGCCAAAATTTACTCAAATTTCAGTGAAATATGCCTGCTCAACACCTAATACATCTTTCTTAAGGGGAAGTAAATAAATTGAAATCTTTTATGTATCCATTTAATCTTTTTGAAATTAGTATGACAGTTTTCATTTTTTTGTTTCATCAGCTTTCAAATTTATTTTTTTCCTTAGCAATTTCTAATTTTATTAGATTTAGAAATTTTTTTATTGTTGTGCTGGCTGGGAGCACATGGTGGCATTTACAAAAGTTCTTACAGTATATTAAATATATCATAGTTGAATTCACCTCCTCCATCATTTTCCTTTATCCTCTTTTCATTTAAATATTTTAATTACAAAAATAATATCTAACCATACTGGCTTAAAATCCTGCTGTAAAAAAGTGAAAGTCCACTCATCCCCCTTGTTTCATTCATTCCCCTCCTTTCCTGAGAAATAGGAACAGTTAGGTTTGTTGCCTGGTCTTTGTGCATACACACACAGGAAAGCACACACAAATGCATTTCACAATTTCATGCCTGTTTCCAAAATGTCCTCCAAGCACACTTTTCCAATGTCATTCCCATCAACTTTGAATGAGAGTACCTATTTCTCTAGACCAGATAGAATTCATGATTAAAATTTTTGCTAACCTAATAAGTAAGAAATAGCATTTCATATTTCAAACTTACACTTTTGAGTTACTATTATAGTTGGTATATATTCATCTACTTACTGACCATTTGTATTTCTTCCATATGTGAATTGCCTGCTCTCCTTTGCCCACTTTTCTACAGACTTTTAAATATATTGCAGACAGGATTAGGTAAAATAAAAAGCAAACTTATGTCTCACGTGAAAGAATCCTGGAGTTAGGCACTTCAAGGCCAGAAGGTAACTTTGCAGAGCATCTCTTTGAATAGTCTGGTTAATTGAACACCTGTTGCTTCAAAATGGCTTTCTCCCCTCGGTTTCTGCTCTCAACTTCAGTCCAGAACCCATGGTGCTCAGTCACTTGCAGAGCTTGTTTTAACTTCTGTGGTCTTGAAGAGGAAAAAACTGAACAAGTCAGATCCATATCATATTGCCGTTGAAAATGGGTGCCATGGCAGCTGCTCCATGTGATTCTTGGCTGAGCATGACAGCCAGGTAGATGCACGGCCATCCAAACCTGGTCCACCCCACATTGAATGATCTGCTCTTGGTAGGTACAAGCAGATATAGCCACATGATTCCTTCTCTTTTGCCTCCCCTGCTCATGGTGCTGGGAGTTTATGCCAGGGCCTCACACATGCTAAGCACAAGCTCTACCCTGTCTATTGCTTTTTAAACATGCTGTGTTGGAGCTCTGTCTTTTTCCCTGGATGATAACTCAGGAAGATACCTTGGATTTTCTGATCACTTAAAAAAGCATTAAGAGATAGTCTCATTTTTAGCTATCAAAAAGTCCTATCCAATCTAAATGAAAATTTCAGTTTTCCACTCAATGTAACATATCTCTCCTGTTCCCTGCTTGGGCCTGGCTTATCTTGGAAACCTAAAGTGGTATCTCAGAATACTAAAATCCCTCCTCCTGTGACTGGTGGTGCAGTTGAAGTGTGGGCAGGGTGGTGTGGAAAGATGGTTCCTTCCCACATAGGAAAGGGGTAGACAATGCATAGCCCTCCAGCAGCTTTTCATGGCTACCTAACTGGTCTCTATCATCACCTAGATAGCCTGGCAGGGTGCTTTGCCAAGGGGCACAGTACTGGTTTGGGATTATCTGTCCACTCTTTAGGATGGTCTGTTATCTCTGGGTAGAATGTGAAGTCACTTACATTTGTTCTTTTAACCACACTTCTGAGGTTGGAAAAAATCCAATTTAACTTTTTTTAAAGTTAGGTTACTATAGTATCCTGGAGTTTCTCAGCCGCTCTGGCAGTGTGGTGGTGCCTGAGATTGATGTCATATTGATGGTCTGTAGAGGTCTGTGGCAACAGAGGCAAAGATGCTTGTGCGAACCCTTAGGGTCAGCACATTTACATCTCACTCTGTGTAGACTGAAACTTCTGTGGTGTCTATTTTTCTGGTATCCCTTCTGATACCAAAAGTGTGAGGGCTTCCTCCACCAACTCTCCACTTCTCCAACACCAACTCGTGTCCAGGCATTCAACCTGGTCCAGAGTTAAAAGAGCCTCCATAGGTTAAGGCTTAGTACCTCAAATCTGCTCCCATTATAGACACCAGTTGCAAGTCTCAGCAACCACCTATACTTCTAATTAACTGATTACATTTGCCAAACTGCCTTCCACAGGTTAAATAATTCACTAGAATGACTCACAGAACTAAGGGAAACAAACAAACATGTTGACATGTTGCTCACAGGAACAGCCAAATGGAAGAAAACTGTAGGGCAACTAAGAGGGGGTAAGGTGCAGAGCTTCCACACGCTCTCTGGCACACTACCCTCCCAACAGTGTGTTCAGCAAATCTAAAGCCCCCTGATCCTCCTGGTAACAGTTTTAATGACCTTATCTCCACCCTCCTTCTCCTCCTTAGCATGTAGTGCTAAGCATGTAGTAGCATGTAGTGCTGAAAGTTCCCAGTCTAATCCTGTGTTTGATCTCGGTGTAGTCTGAAGGGGCTTGTTATGAGGAACGCAAGACATACTTGTCACTCAAGAAATTCCATTGGCTTTAGGAGATCTGTGTCAGAAACAAAGACTATACATTTTTATTATGCCATAGTTACTCAAGCTTTTTCTTTAATTCAGCTTTTTTATTGGAAATGTAGACATGTACATACATGCACACATATGTGCACACACACACACACACATTTTCCCCAGGACTTCCTCAACACAAGTCCAACATGTAAGAAGAGGTAGATTTCTGATGTCTGACTTTGTAACAAAAAGAACCAACACAAGTATACAACACTTAGAATAAAGAAGTATAATTTTTAGGCCGGGTGTGCTGACACACATTTGTAATCCCAACTACTCAGGAGGGGAAGCAGAAGACCAGTGGGAGCAAAATTAGCAAAACCCTGTCTCAAAAGCAAAATACAAACAATAGGGCTGGGGGCATAACTTAGTTGGTAGAGATTTGTCTAGCATGTGCAAGGTCCTAAGTTTCATTCCTAGTACTACCAAAAAAAAAAAGTGTATTTTTTTTCTTTTAGGGAATAGTCTCAGTGTGAACAGTCCAGATTGGCTGTGCAGATTTTCTTCTTGAAGTCATTGAAGTCATTTAGGGATCCTGGTTCCTTCTCAAATGTTATTCTGGCATCTCCTAGGACATTGTCACCATCATCTGTGTGGTTGAAACAGGGTTGTCATCACAGATGGGTTCCAGCTGACATTAAGGAAAACACAAAGAACTGAAGGCCCAGATCTGGAAGTGACATTTGTCACTTCTGCTCGCATGGCATTCCTGAGCATTTAGACCTGCTGTAATTGTGAAGAAGACTGGGAAGTATTGCCCTCTGGGCAGCCAGGGGTCTGGCTACAGCTTCATTACTGGAGAAAGTTGGGAGAATTCTCAGCTTCTACCAGTTTGCCTCCTGGCCATGCAAATGTCTTCCTGCCCCTTCCTGCCACATAGAGCAGTACTCTCAGAAAGGAAGGGACGGTGTCTGTCCTGATCCTGAGAGCCCCATCATTAGTTAGGGCTGAGAATCTGCTTGATATCTCCTCAGTAGGTCCAGCCTTGACTCCTCACATTCAGCCACTTACAAACAAAATTTCAAGTTCTCTTCCTCTCCTCCCACTAACAAACATAATGGTATAAGACTAAGGATAAGTAGAATAAAGTCCCCTATTCAGAAAAGGGAACTTGGGGGATATATGCTATAGTCATAGAACCATGGCTTGTAGCAAATTCCATTAGGCAGGATTGCTTATGGTCCTTGCCCCATAATGGAGGGATTTCCAAGGTTAGCCTATTGACAACCCCTGTGTCTGCTCTTTTAGAGTAACTCCACTGTCTTCTGAGACCCCAGCCCCCTAGAAGTTCTTCCTTGTCCTACAAGGCCATATTGAACTGATGTGTTGGAGACTACACCCCTCTCAAACCCATTTTAACTTTGAAAAGAACAAAATCCAAGTATTTTCTGGTTAGGCCTATGTTTACTTTGGGGAAACTATTTCTTCAAAAATTTGGTACACACTTCTGCTCTTTTTGCTTCCAGTTAGTGCCTGTAACTATACCCAAAATTCTTAAACTGCTTTATTTCCATGTTTTCTCATTTTAGTGACAGTTACCTTGAGATCCTATAAAATGCAAGCTTGGGTGGAAGGTAACTCCATTGGTCTGGTGGTGGGGAAATGGGAGTTAATGACAGGCCTTTAAGCTACAACTGCCTCATCTCCTGCTGTTGAAGATATTGTAACAGTTGGCTTTCAACTCCATGAGGTCCTAAATTCCTAGATTATTTCTTTCTACATCTACTTGCAAACTGGTCAGTTCTTTCGTGAGTCTATTTCTTGTAACATGTTGCTAAATACAGCAAAGAGCAGCCAGAATATACTAACATTCTAGTTCTTTCTAGCCATTTCTTTTCTAGCTACAGGCTCCTCTGGAACTTAGTCTGACTT